TGTGAATTTTTCCCTTCACGAGCAGGAATTGAAAGTAGAACCAAAAGGTCTGTTGCGAAACCAACGCACGCCACATTATCCCTATCAAATGGCTGGCCTACTTTATACCCACTATGAAGGGACACCACTAATCCGATCATGAGCGAGAATAGAAGCCCTCCTGATTTTCCAGTGTTTTTAATAGGATGGATGGATCATAGGATAACTCTCCAAGCGGGAATATGCAAGTGCAAGGCACATAAGGTGCAAACTAAGAAATATAGCTAGACTACGAACAAGGAAAACATGTGAATATCATATCTTAATGCTAATATTACATAGAAATGAGTCCACAATAAACCCAAGGACATCGTGTGACTTAAATTTGTAGTTGGGTAAAGTGAGAGTCTTTTCTACAACCAAATAATGTAGACACCACATGACATAGTGCTATCATACCAACGAATGTAGGAATGTAAAGGTAGAAGTTAGAAATATCGGGCTTGTTTGAGCCACATTATTTTCAAAAAAAAATACATTCTTCCACAGTGGTTTGACATCATTTCAACCATACATTTTTTAATAAAATAATATTACACGCAAATCTAAAACTTTTCCTTATTTTTAACCACACATTTTCCATTGATTTGACATGAATAATGCATTTTTCCTAGAATGTAGCTCAAACATGCGCATCATATCAAAACTTAAATGATTATATGGACCCAATCGTAGCAAAGAAGCTTCTCATGACCTAGAAATAGCATTTGAGCATAAATTGAACCCCTTGGGAGATTAAGGCAAATCCTTTCTTTGAGCGTAAACAACTTTATCCTAAACAACTTTCCTTTCTTGCTTATTTCTACGCACAACATCATTATTAGGCCTACATCTAGGCATTTAACCCCCATTATGTCAAAGACACTAGCGGACCTTAAAGATCTACGTTATCGCTCATAAGAGATGCAAGAATGTTCATTCCTGTTGTTTGAACGTGTATAGAAGAGGAGGTCCAATTGTAGCTTTGAGAAACGTCAACCTCTACATCTCTTTCAATGGGGGCTGACTTTTGTCCTCTCTTTATACTTTGAAGATGGTCACTCTATACCTCCTCGTTTCTTTGTTGATTTTTCTCGTGGGTCTTAATAATAGGGTTGGAAAAAGATGGGGTGAGGCATGTTTTGAAATATTTTCATAGTCACTTATGCCTGCATATAATAGAGGATGAAGAGTTGCATAGCAGCATTTTGCTGCTTCAATTTTCCCATGTTGACACCCATGGTTGCCATCTTTCTTGTGAGGCTTATAAATGTCTTTCCTATTCTCTAGTAATGTGGCAGCCACTATTGGACATCTAAAGCTGTCGCAACTTCATTTTCAAAAGCTTTTTCACCATTCTTCACAAAAATATCTCATGTTTTTTACTTCCACTCTTTTTAATTCAAAATATCCATCTTTTGTTTGCTCTCTTAGAAGGCATGCCTTTTGACTCATGAGATAGAGTAAGATGCTCATTTTGCAAGGATAGTACTTCCACATGAGGCCAACAAATTATATGTTCTTTTTACAAGGCAATTCTTCTAAGTGAGGCCAATGAAGATGCTCATTTTACAAGGAGGTGAGACCAACAAAGATGTTCTCTTATTCATTTTTCAAGGAACAAGGTTCGAAAGTTGAAGATCTATTTGGGCTTGATTTATTCAAAACTTCAACTTGTCCTTTCTCTAAGAAAAACACTTTTTAAAAAGGAAAACATGTAAGCTTTTTAATAGCCTTTTCACTCACAAAATTTAATCTTTATTAAACTATGGTTCCCAAAAGTAATGCCAATTTGTCGACATTCGAGACCCAACTATTAATATATCTTTGCTGCTTTCATCCACGTTTATGTCACTTGCATACTTAGATATTAACATTAGATGAAATAGATTGAAGCTTTTACGGGATGGGATGATTGCATACTGTACGACACTCAAGTTAAATGGTGAAATATATTTGATATAGGAGAGACATCGTGTATGAAAGTATATTGGAGACAAGATTTAGATTATTTATAAATGACAATGGAACAAGTATTCATATGAGGAACCACATAAAAGAGGTCCCTCTAGATGCTTGAAATGTGATATCATCCTAACTATTCACTTGTTATGTTCAATTATGTCAATCTATAGGCATATCTTGCAGATTCGAAAAATAGAATGAAAAGTTATTATCTAATCGAGCCTCGGAGGTAAATTTTTTCCACCCTATTGGGTTGATATGGAATTTTTTTCCAAATAATATGTACTTTTTCTACTAAAATTTAAATGGCTTTGGGGAGTAGTAGCGTCATTGCTATAGAATTGTCACATCAATCGGTCTACGCAGTACACTTCGTGCAACTTGATTAATAAGAGGTATGCAAGAGATATGCTTTCCCTCGGATATAGACTACAACTGAGAAGGATTCATTGCCTCAAATAACATTAATGTTTCGAGTGCCGTATTAAAGACATTGCCTAAACGTCTCTGAAGAGGCATGATAGGAATGTAAAATGTCATATTTTTCATTCCATTACCTTATACTTTTGTGATTAATTAACACCTAAATGTACTAAGTACCCTTATATTTTGGTTTAGATTACAAATAGATAATGATGGCATAAATTAGAAGAAAAGAGGGATAAATGACTAAAGTGAAAAAAATCAAAAGTTGAAGGACTAAAACGCAATTATCCAAAAGTTGAACCGAAATGCGAAACGAATGAGTGAAAGATTTGAAGGTCAATTGATGGAAGACTCAAAGTGTTGGAAGAAGGAAAATAAGAAAAAGAAGCCAAGAAAAGAGGAGATGAAAGTTCAGGGATCAAAGTGCAACAATTGAAATTATTTTATACTGCGTGCGCCACAAGCATAAAGTGGCACGCGCACAATGAAATATATGGCGCACGAGCGTGGTCCAAAATTTCTGTGGCGGGCCAGTTTATTTTTTCTGATGAAATTCTACGTGAAAATAATATTTTTTTTGACATCATATATATACCTAAAGATGACAGAACGAGGGGAACCTCATTTTCGACCTAAAAATCTTATATTCTACATATATTTGGAGCTGAAGAACGGACCATAGACTTTTATCTCTTTTTACTTAAAGATTATTGATGTATTGCTAAACTCCATTTCTTGGTCGAAGGATATTGAAGCCCAGGAACATTTTTTCAATGTTTTCATTCATATTTTATGTATTGAATATTCTTCTATGCATGATTCATGGTTGTTATATTTGAATTCTAAGAGGCCTATTAGATATTCATTTATCACAATCTATTGCTTGTTTAAAGAACAAATATGTAATTGTTTGATATCTTTGATATTATGAACCAACTATAGTTTGATTAATCGTTGTTTTAGAGGTTATTAAATTTTAAGAAGGATATTTGACTAGATTAAATATAACCACTTGTGATTGTGTTGTTTAGTTTCATCCATTTATCTAATTTTCCATGCAATTATTAAATTAAATCTTAATTGATTTTCCTGGGGTTATTTAATAATAACGATTGATTGGATCACTTGTTTTCTGATTAATTACAATTAAGGAGAAATAGGAAAAATAAATTCTCGCGATGAATGCAAAAATATGAATTGATAATCATTCATAGATCCATGATCAGTTTGAAATTCCTACGTTGGATATTGACTTAGACCAAAGTTCGTTCTATTGATTTAATCCAATTTATTAAATTACATTGCTTTTAGTTAGAATTAATTTCATCACAAACAAAATCTCCCGTTATTGTTAACGTTCCATAAAATTAGAGTAATCACTCTTTGTGGGAACGATCCTTACTTCCACTACTACATACATTTTTTGGAAGTGTAGGTTTCATTATTTTTGGGTGTCTGCGACAGCACGCCAAATTTTGGTACCTTTGTTGGAGAGTGATTTAGTGTATTTTTGTGCTTTTTATTTGTTTCATTAGTTTTTGTTTAAAAAAAAAGTCGTTTATTTTGTTATTTAGTTTAGTTTACCTTGATTGTTTATGCTCATAACTCGATCCTCTAACCAAGGGAATTTGTAATACGATCCAGAAATAGAAAGAACTTTGCGTAAGTTGAGGATTGGCATAGCTAGAAATCAAACCTTGAAAGAGCTTGCAGCTCCAGATTTGCATCAACAACCCTTATGTATAACTTTCCCTAATTTAGATGCTAATACTACTTTTGAATTAAAATCCGGACTAATACATCTATTGCCCACCTTTCATGGTCTTGCCAGTGAAGATCCCCATAAAGATTTGAAGGAATTTCACGTGGTTTGCACAAGCATGAAACCTACGGAGGTAACTGAAGAGTAAATTAAACTGAGAGTCTTTCCATTCTCTCTGAAGGATTCAACTAAGGACTGACTCTACTATCTATCATCTGGAAGTGTCACAACATGGGAGGAAATGAAAAGGACGTTTTTAAAGAAATATTTTCTAGCTTCAAGGGCAGCAAACATTTGAAAA